AAAAATTCATAAAATGTTGCAACTCAAAGTATTGCAACTTAAGTTACAACTAGTTAAAAATTTTAAAAATAATTATGAGAACCATCTTTAAGCCTAATGCTAACATTCTTCTTATATATTTTATCACTTTCTTTTATTTTTAGAGAATTTTATTCGGCTTTGTGTAATAATTCTTTAATTTTTATTTATTTATTTTTTTATCAATAAACTGTTTTATCATTTGGGAGCTTTGCAATAAAAAGGAAAAAAACTCTAAAAAAATTAAAATTTTACTTTCTAAGCTAATTATGATTTTTTTGTAAAATAAGTTCAGATTTAACATTAACTTAAAAAAAATTTTTTTTAGAGTTTCCTTTCTTTCTATTGCAAAGCTTCCATTTATTGCTGTGTGATCTGTAAAATTTTAATCAAGAGCTGAGTAGTTAACGAAGAGATGTTATTGAATGAAAAATTAGTGTGATCAATATTAAATTTACTAACTTTTTCACTTAATTGGGATGTGTATCATATAGATTAATATGAATTAATTAATAAATATTTCAAATTAGGTAATTTGTGATACGAATAATTTTGTATTATATTATATATATATATACATATTCAATATGCATATATATATGAGATATATATATGATATACTAGTATATTGTATTCATATATTTTCGCAATTATAATAAGTTTATAAATTCTTTGAAATCATTAGAATAGAATCGTAAAAAAACTCTCCTGTAATACTTTTGAACCATATTAAATTAATGATCACAAAGTAGTTTTTTCAAGAATTTTAATTTTGTAGATTAAAAAAAATAAGCAAAATAATTTCTTTAGATGATCCTTCATTTTTGCGTTACACTTTTATGTATAGATTATTGTGATTATTGTATTACAGAAAAAAATTTTAATTTTAATTTTAATTTTTATTTTTTAATTACTATTTTATTTTTTTTTTTTGTAAAAAAGTATAAAAATTAGATTAAAACATTTCAAGATCAAAATAAAGTTGTTCAGTAGGTATCAAAATAATTATGTATCAAATTTTATTAGTATTCAATAAATATTCACAAAATTATCAATTTTTTTGATAATACACTAATTTTTTTTATTTTTTATTTAATTTAATTTTTTCTTAGAAGTTAATTCTAGTACTTTAGTCGAATGAAACAGGCTTTCTGAGATTAAACAAAGTTGTTTATTAGGTATCAAAATGATAACGTGTCAAATTTTATTAGTATTCAATAAATATTCACAAAACTATCAAATATTTTTATAAATACACTAATTATTATTATTTTTATTTTATTTAATTTTATTTTATTATATAATTCTAGTACTTTGATCAAATGAAGCAGCCTTTCTGAGATCAATTAATATTATTTAGTAGATTTTAAAATGATTTATCAAATTTCATTAATATTTTTTTTAAATTTTTTTTTAATTTGAATATATAGGTATAATTTATCAAGATAAAACTGATTTTTTATTTATATTTTCTTTTTTAATATAATTTTCAGCAAGATAAAACTGATGTTGTATTTATATTTTCTCTTTTAATACAATTTATAATGAGATAAAACTGTAATTTTGTATTTAATTTCTTATATTTTTTTATTTTTTTTTTAACAAAACTTTTTATATAGGTATAATTCAATGAAATAAAACTGATTTTATATTTATTTTTTTATAATTTAAAATAAACTATTATAATTACTGAATTAATTGAAAGTAAAAAAAAAACAAAATCTTATTATTTGGTAAGAAAGAGATCAAAAATATTTGTCAAAAGTTTAATAACAAATTATGTGATATAATACAAGAAATGATGCTATTTAATAAATTATTAAAAAAGGAAAACACATTTTTAAAATAAAAATTACAAGGATATTCTAATACTAAAAAATTTAATTTCAAGAAGGTTAATTTGCTTTGAAATTAAAAAGAATTGATTTGATTTGAATATACAATATAGTTCATGATTTGTAATCATAATAAATCACTAAGATCTGAAACTTTCTTAATTTTTTATAATTTTTTAATTTCTTATTTTTATAATTTATTTATTTTCTTAGTTATGTTTATAGATTATAATTTAGTAAAATATTCTTTTTATATAAAGACAAACAATTTATATATGTATTTTAAGTAATTATTTGTTCTTTTTATTTTATAAGTAAAAATTTCTTGTAAATTGTATTGCAATGAATGGGGTAGGTTGATAAGTTGCATGGGATGAAGTCCTCTTTATCCGCAATTTCTAGTTATTTCTATTGGTAATTTCTATGAAAAAAAAATAATAAAAAACAAACATACATCTGAATTAGCTAATTAAAAAAAAATGGTATTAAAAAACAATATAGAAAAAAGATTCACAATATTAGAAATGAAAATTAAGGAGCTATGTTTACAATTCATACATTTAGAAGAAAAGTTTAGAAATAAAACAAAGTTAAGCAAGCAATAATTTATAATTATAAGAAAAATTTAAAAAACAAAAGTTATATTCAAAGAAAAGCAAGAAAATAATTATGAGTTAGAAAAGAGAAATCTTGGATCTTTTGCATTTATCTAACTATCGATAATTAATTAATTCAACTAAAATATTTGCGCAGGTAGGATTTTGTGTAAAAGGAACATCTTTATTTTGTTTTCAAATGATAATGACAGGTAATTTTTATGTGGAAATTCTACAGAACCATCTTCCAGAAACTAGGCAAGACTTATGCAAGAATTAAGTTTTACATCAATATTTTAGTTTTTTTTTAAATTAAATCAAAAAAAGGAAAAGGTGCAACTGATCACTATTTTTTTTTTTGGCGAAAAAAAAATTATTTATTTAATTAAATTAATAAATGAAAAATTATTTGTTATTAACTTAAAAATGTTAATAGCAGTTCTTTTATGTTTATTGGTTATAAACAGAATTTTAAGATAAGCAGAAGGTATTGTGTTTATTGTTTTTACTAATTTATTAATAATAATCAGAATTCTAATCTAATACAACATAAATATCATATTGCCTGCAACGTCGGCGCTCTATATTTTATTATTACAATAAAAATGTAAAAGGGAATTAATAATGATGTTTTCGTATTTAGGGGATTATCGGACTTTTCAAGAATTGAATGAGATTTATTATACCGAAAGTGAATAGTATTAACCGTTGTAATTATCGTTGCATAAATTATTATGATTATTTTTTATTAAAGAAAATTCTGACATTTATATATGTGAAATTTTAACAAGACATTTTTGTCCAGGAAACTAATTTGGCCAGAGAACAATTATGGCCATTGAACAATATTGGCCCAATGATCGTCATTGTGCTAACTCAATGATTGCTAGTCAAATTCTTATACATGTGAAATAATAATAATAATAAAATAATAAAATAAAATAACGTTAATAAAAAAAGAAATAATAAAATACTGCTAATAAAAATAATAAAATAACAATAATAATAAAATAAAAATAATTACAAGTACTAATAATGCTAATACGATAACAAGACCAGCCATCTTGAATATTCTGCATTGCTTTTTTTTTCTTTTTACATATTATTAATGTAACAATAAGAAAAATGCCTTAAATCTTAAATATAGGAGATATTACTAGTGAAAATACAACTACTCTGGGAAATTCCTCCAAAAATAATCATCTGATTTATTATTCCCAGAAATATTTATTATCGTAAACTATATTAATAACATAAGAAAGTACAAGATCCCAACCACTTGTATGAAGATATAAATCGTTACAATATACTCCTGCTATCCAGCCATCCCACCATAAATATGGTTCTGCATGAAATGTACCATCAATTGTATGTATAGATAATTTATATCCTATTGACCAATCCGGAGATGTCTCTGATGATGGACTAGTATTTGGCAAGCCGCACTTAGTCCATTTCTCTTGTTGGGTATAATCGTACCAATGAATGCATAAATTAAATATTTCATCATCTCCTCGTGGATTTAACGCTACTCGATATACAGGATATGAATTAAATGATTCTTCTTGTACAGGATATGGATGGAAGGAAGTATTGATAACAGATAATAAAATTATCAAAAATCCTAAATTTTGTAATTTATGTACAAACATCGTAATTATATATATAACACTTTTTTATAAGTAAATTAATATTTTATCATTTGACTCAAGCTCAATTTATAATAAAATTTTGACCTATATATAAAGGTTTGAAAAAAAATTGGAATTAAAGTCACGAGACATGAAAAATAATGAAATCAAAAAGAACAACGAATTGGCATTATTATTATTTTGACTTTTATGATTATACCTTTTTTAAAAAAGATTTTTTTCAGAAATAATTTAAAATGTCTATTTCTGATAAATAAAAGCAACGTGAAGTTCTAAAACTGTAAAAGCATAAAGCCAAAATGTATGTGCTTCTCAGATTTTCAGGAGAAAGGAGACTCAGTAGTCATTATTATTGTTAATCATTTTCCGAAAAATTATTTTGAGGGAGGTGATCCGAGACTGTGCTGTAAATAACAACAGAATAACATTTACTAACATGTATATTTGCTCCGGAACGGCTATTTCTATTACATTCTGACCGAAACACATTTATATATCATTATTAGTTTTAGTATTAAGCAGTTTAGTGAGCAAAAAATAGTCTTATATGTATTATCCCTGATGCCTTTGTAAATGTCGAGATCTTTAAAGAACATTCCGCATGTCCTTAATCTCGTACATAAAACTTTGGCGTGAAGGAATTGCATATTCTTATGTCACTTCTCCAACATTAATGCAAGTCGAGACGAAGACAGTAATGGAGAACATTTAAAAGGTTAGTAATTGCTTCTTGTTTTTTCTTCACCGAATCGCATTTAATAATATCAATATTCTATTAACTGGACCTTTTAGCTGATATGGAACGGAGAACGAAAATCTTAGAGATTCTAGCTGGTCTTTTTAAATTGATAGTTGCAATGACCTTTCGTTAGAAATTTCAAGCCCCATTCGTACATCTGGAAAATCTATACATTTCATAAACATTACGAATTAAATAGGTTTATCGGTTTGCTGATAAATTGTGAGTTCAATGTGCTATTTCAGATAGCATTTACATATTTTATGTTAAATGTCTACATAGAATTTATATTCCGACACCTATATGCTTCTTTTTATTCTTGCCACTAGGTCATTTTTGTTTGAAGCCTCATGAAATTAACTTCACAATTGTCATATTTTAACACCATTAATTGATGATTGTTTCCTAACATGTGAGGATGTCCAAGTCTATCGGTGAATATGGAATTTCCTGTTTATTTTTCCATCCATCCCAGATGTGAAGAAATCTCGCCGGCTTCGATTATGCGGAAGAATATACCAATGGAGTAGACAGAAAGAAGCAATTGAGACACAAAATTGATATTATTTTTCGTATAAATAATACGGAATAATTCTGCGTAGAAACATTCCCATAATTCGAAGCTGATTTTTTACAGTTAGGAACATGAAATATCAGTTAGATCATCTCGTCCATTGAAGAAATTGAAATTCACGAAAGAAAGGTGGAAAGCATTGTTCAGCATGGAATATCCCATGGAGATAATTACGGAAATTTAGAGAAAAACTTCTTGTATCAACCGTTTTTTTATAACTATAAAGTTAATTAAAATCCATTTAACATTCAAAAAAAGGTTTTAATGATAATGTACGTTATGCTATGTATTATGATGTGGATATTGGATATTGTTTTTTATTTGAGTCATGTCAATATCGAATTGGCACAACAATAAGAAGTGTCCCAGAAAGTCTCGTTGTTTTAAAGGATTTGTTGCGATTAAAGTTATGTTTATATACAGTATATGGGGCCTTTGCAATAGAAAGAAAGCACAATATATTAGCTAAAAAAGGAAGATTTCCTGTTTTTCACGCCCTGAGGTTGGAACTAGTAAAGAAATTTTCTTTAATTGTATTTCCTTCTGAGAATAGCTTTTAATAGCAGATTTTCTTTCTCAAACAAGACAAAAATATGAGATAGGGAGTGGAAAGATCTACACCGTGAACATTTAGGGTGTTACGGCTTCCATTGGACTTATTGTTAAAAACAAAGGTTGATTGGACAGATATAATAATCATAAGGTCAGACAATACAGTCATATAAATCTAATTTTTTTCTTTGCAAAATTATTTTAAATTAATGATATTACTTTCCAAAGCTTACTTGACCTAGGGATCGAGTTAATCCAGTGATGGCATTTGGTCATGGTCAAGGCTAATTTTTTTGGCCATTGGCCAAAATAATCGGCCAAGATTTGTGGCCAAAATCCTTGACCGCGACCAATGGCCAATGGCCAAAATGGCCAAATGTCAAAGGTCACATGTCTCTGCCAATTTTTTTTGGCTTGAATATTCAATATATTGTATTTTTGTAATTGAATGACCATTCCAAACGTCAGAGGCGTCAATTATTGATAAATTTCAATAATTGAACGTTCCGAACGTCAGAGGCGTCAATTATTAAATAAATGCAATATATTGAATATTCAAGTCAAAAAAATTGGCAGAATTATGTAACCTTTGACATTTGGCTATTGGTCGCGGCTAAATGCCAATTGGATTTTGGCTGCAGATCTTGACCGATTATTTTAGCCAAACGGCCAAATCGGCCAATGGCCAAAAAATTAGCCTTAGCTAAAACCAAATGCCATCACTGGCTTATGGCTATAGTCAAAAGGGTGGAAACACATCTAATCTTATAGCATATTTAATGAATAAGCATCTTATAACCAAGGACAATTATTTATAATGTAAATTTAATACCAAAGAATAAAGTAACAACAATTTTACTGTTCTAAACATTAGAAAATGGAGATGATTACACTTTTCAAGTTAATTATCATAATAAATTGCTATATATGTCATATAAGAATCATGATCATTAATAAATTTGTATAATGATTCTTTTTCGCATTATCGTTTTTAAGGAATGATTTGATAATCATTCCAAAAAAAATGATCTATTATCATTTTTAAGGAATGATTCAATTATCATTCCAAAAAGAATAATTTATTATTGTTCTTAAGGAATGATTCGATTATCATTTCAAAAAGAACGATCTATTATTATTCTTAAAGAATGATTCAATTATCATTCTAAAATAAATGATTTAGATTTATTATCTTTCTTAAGAAATTAATCATTCTATTGGAATGATTTTTTCTATTGTTCCTTTAAAATGATGCATTATCATTCTATTAGAATGATTCTTCTATCATTCTATTAGAATGATTCTTCTATCATTCCTTTAGAATGATATATTATTGTTCTATCAGAATAATTTTATTTATCATTCCTTTAAAATGATGATTTATTGTTCAATCAGAATGAATAACTCAAGTCAAGTTGAGTTAAGGTTTAAAAATTATTTTGACTCAACTCGATTTTTTGAGTTAAGTTAAGTTTGACAAAAACTTGCTCAACCTGACTCATTTAGAACTCTATTCATTATGATGAAAAATTTGATAACATTTTTACTAATACCAAATATTATATCTAAATTTAGTATATAATAATAAGTTTGAAATATTGTAATATAAAACAAATAAATTTAAATAATTAGTTAATGAATTAAAGTTATAAAGGTATGCTTGCTTTTAACAGATATAGATTAACTTATATCAATTGATTCTGAATATCATGTAGAGGTAACAAGCTTTGTTTAGATTTTTTTTAATGGAATTTAAAAAAATTATAAAAAAAACTAAGTAAAAAGAATAAGCGAAGATAATAGAAAAGATAAAGGAAAGAAAGACTAATTAAAATTATGAAATGTGAAAAAATTGAAAAAAGGAGATATAATAGTTGAAAAAGAAAGTAAAAAGTAGGCTATTTTGGGTTTTGGATTGAGAAGAATTATGTGAAAAAGAAGTTAAAAATTCTAAAAAATTTAAAATTTAAATTTAGGTTAAAATAATATTGATATTAACTAAATAAATTTTTTACCTAATTTTTCTCTTTCTTGAGCTATTTTTTCTGTTTAATTAATTTGAAGTTTAATACTAATTAATCGTTTATAATCTAATACTCAATTTTGATAATTATTTAAATTTTTAAATTGTAATTTTTTTCCTAAAGCAAATTTTATAGTTTCATGAATATTAGTAATTCACAAAACATATTTAAATACATCAATATAATATGTTATCTAAAAGGAGTTTAGCATCTTTTATTTTTTTAAAATTATGACATTAAGAGTTACAAAAAGGACACACACTTCTTTAACCAAAGGGTAATGCAAAAAAATTTGTATTTATACTCGTAAAATCCTAAAAAATCTTAACTTGAAATAAGTTCATTTTTTAATATAAAATAGACTATAATAATGATTAGTCAACAATTTCTAAAACTTTGAAAAAAAGGAATAGTTTTTAAATATAGAAAAAGATAGTTATCATATTTCTTCTAAATATTCACAATAGGTTAAAATTCTATAAGTTAATAAAGCGTTATGAATTTGGATTAGCCTAATTCTTAGTAATCGCATATTTATTTCAGATACTATTTTAAAGAAAAAACTATTTTTTTTGTAAGTAGCTTGACTTCTAAGAGTAATTTAACCTATTCAAGCAATTTGCTTACACAATTCAAGAAAAGAAATAGTTTATAAAGTCATAAATTACATAGAGAATCAGAAAGTATTCTATTAGAAATAATTCACTAAGAATAAAAATAGCTTCAACATATTTTATAATAATATAGCTTAGATGATATATACAATGCAAATGTAACTGGATTGTTCTTTTATATAAAACTCTTGTACAAGAACTTATTAATGAAACTAAAAAAGTAAGTTTTTTTGATGATTTTTAGTTTTAATAATAGTAATTAATTATCTAATTTTGAACTATTTATTTATAGAATAAAACTAGAATAACTGTAATGTTAGCATCAAATGCCGTTGTTAAGCTTAAACTGTTTCTCGTTAAGTTAACAAAGATTATTTGCTAACAGAGAGTTTAAGTGCATCTAAATTATAGAAGAAATAAACACGAATAATTAAATTAAAGGGTCAGGTCATCTTTATTGATAAAAAATTAATAAAAATTATATTTTTATTAATAAA